AAAGTTGAATTATTTGAGAAATGATATCTGGAATGCAATCAATTTGAAATTTATTTTATTGTGATTAAATTGAGGTTCTCGAAGTTCATGGCTACTACTTCAACTGGCTTCCTTTGAACCTTTTTTTTTTTTTTTTTTCAATTTACAGCCTAGGATACAGAGGTAAAATTAAGACTGCCTGGCCTTAGAATTAAAATATTTTGAAGATGAAATGATGTATTTCTTCAGCTTTTGCTACAGAAGTCTCATAGAGCCAAAGTAGTATGTTTTTATCAATCCTTGAGCTGAGTGGGTACAATGTGGGGGTAGAAGAACTTAGAATTGCTGAACCCCTAAATGCCTTGTCCAGTGCTTGAAGGATACAAAAGTGTAAGCACATTTCAAAAAATGTATAATCTTTCTGGGGTGATATTATATAAATCCACAGCCAGGTAATTCAGTATAGAGAGCTTAGATGAGCCTGGGATGTACCCTTGGCTGAGCACACTGGTTTAAGTCACCTCACTTCTCTGAACCTTAGGGCATTTAAACTGGAAAATGAGATTAACTCTCTGTTCCATGGCTTACTCACATTATTAGGAAGGGTAAATGAGATAATGCTTATGAAAGTGCATTGTAAAGTTAGGTGGTACAATTGAAATATTTTTAAAATATCAGTTAATTTATCAGAGGCAATAATTAGTGGCAGGGCTTTCACAGGAAAGATGAGGTCACCGTGAGCTGGAATGACCAGGAAATTCTTCATGAGGCACGAATGGTCTGAGATGATCTCTAGGATTGGGAGGAATTGAAATGGCAAGCACTCAGTTAGAGGTGATCATGGGAGAAATAGGCTGTAGGCAGGGCTATTTAAAGAGTACTAAAGGGCTATTTAAAGTGTTCCCCAACTTCACTCTTGAGTCAGACTTAATCTGCTAAAGCAGAAAGTTCCTGACAAAACTGTTAGAGGCCACTGAGAGTCACACCGAGAGCTTTAACCTTAATACTGCAAACAAAGGATGGTCACTGAAGGTTGTTAAACAGAGGATTACTGTGATCAATGCTGTGTTTTTTAAAAGGATAAATTATCCTGTGAGATATGGAGTAGGATCCAGGGAGGAGACCTTGGTAAAAGGAGGGCTAGTTCAAAGGCTGTTACAGAAAACCAGATGTGAGCGGCTGAGTGTCTCAACTTGGGCAGTCCTCTGGAGAAGAAAGCACTAGAAGGAAGTTCAAGTCCACCTGGCATGTTGTATTCCTGGGACTGGGAGCAAAGAATCTTTGCAAATATGTATCCAAAGTAGCTCAGTCTTACTGAACAAAGCTTTATTAAGCTTCTGTTAAATAAGGGCATAGTGTGAGGGACAATGGGGATATGAAAATAGATTGACTATGAATTGTGTTCTCAGAACCCAATTAATGGAGAAATAATGTATACATTTAAAAACTTTATTGAAGTGTATTATATGTACATAAACAAAACTTAAGTGTAGGACTTGGTGCATTCTCACAGGGTGAACTCACCTGTAGTACTAACACCCAGTTTGAAGTCCTGGATGTTATCAACATCTTAGAAACCTCCTTTGTTCAATCTCTGAGTCACTATCCCCCCATAAAGATCATCACCACCTCTACTCTCCTGACTTATCATTTCTTAGATTAGACTGACTAATTTTTGAGCTTCTTTAGTGTCTGACATTTTTCACTAGTCATATTTGTGGGATTCATTCCATATTGAGCATATAGCAAGTTTAATCATTCTCTTGCTGTGTAGTCTGTTATAAGAATTTATTTACCCTTGAAATTGCTGATGGACATCTGGGTTGTTTTCTAGCTTAAGGGTCCTACAATTATTGATGCTGTATGTGTTCTTAATCTTGTACATTGATTCTGAATGAACAGGGGTCACATTTTTTTCTTGGGTATATACCTACAAGTGTAATTGCTGGATCACAGTTTATGTATATGTTCAGCTTCAGTAGGTGTTGTCAAATGGTTCGCAAGGTTGTACCAGTTCCCGTTGCCTCCAGTGGCATTTGAGAACTCCCATTGCTCCATGCTGTTGTAGACACTCCGTGTCTTCTTCACTTTACCCACTCTGTTTGTAGTGTCATTCTAGATACGAATTTTCAGGACCACAAGACAAGGTATCAAGTGGCAAGTACCAAGAAGGCTTAAGGAGTGATTGGGAAGTTTATTTATTTGATTTTTTAAAAATTTTTAATGAATATTTTATTTATTTATTTGACAGAGAGTGAGAGAGAGAGAGAAAGCAAGCATAAGCAGGGCGGGGTGGGCAGCCGAGGGAGAGGGAGAAGCAGAGTTCCCACTGAGGAAGGAGCCGGATAATGGAGCCCAGCTTTGCAACCTGAACTGAAGGCAGATGCTGAACCAACAGAGCCACCCAGGCATTCCATGATTGGAAAGTTTAGAGGAGGGATTACATCTGTTGTGTTAGGAAGGAGACCTAGGCCGTGTAAGGTAAGAAGGGTGACTATCTATTCTCCAAGACTACTCCACATTTTAAGAAATGATGAAATGGCTGTGATTCGGTGCCTTGGCCATATATTCCAGCAGCAAAACGTATCTTTTGTCTCCTGCTGTGCTCCCCATTTTCCTTCCAGAAAGTATGATCCCCAGAGGTGTATATAGACAGGTCATTGGCCACAAAGAGGCAGAGAGGATGTCTGGTGCAATGGGAACACTATTAGTAGAGACACAGGTCAGTGACCAAAGTACCATCCATATTCCTGTTGATGAACAGAGGAGTGGGAGACTGTCTCGTGCTCTGGGACTGGATGATACTTTCTCCTAGTTTCTTGAAGCAGGTTAGAAAGCTCACCCCACTCCCAAGACAGCTTGCATTTTAACTGGATACAGGATGAGAATATCCTCTTTGCCAACTATGACCTCATCTCGGGGAAAATTCGTCCGTCAGTCATATTTCAGGTGTATCAAAAAATATTTACATACTCTTAAAATAAGAGGGGGGAAAAACCCCACCATAACCTATAAAGATTAGTGTCTCACAACTTACCTGTGAGTTGAATATTTCCTCAGGGGAAAGTGCCATTTCCTTGTTAGCTTTTGTCTTGACATGTGGAACTTTGCTGATATTTATTCTGGTAGTGCTCAAGGTTGAAACCAATACAATTTGAAGGCTGGTGTGATTATTGCTCATGTCTTAGAACATTTCTTCTTTAGACTGTCAGCAAATATGTGGAAATATACCTTAAATTATTTAGTTAAGGGAAATAAAGTGGCCCTGCCTACCTCTGAGTAGACACAGGAGCTACTGTCTAGAAAATTCTACTCAATGCCTAAGCTTAGGAATTTCTGTTATAACTCAATACACATATTTCTGAAATACATCTGCTCTTCCAAACTACAAACACAAATTATGGTGGAAAACGGAAGAGGGAAAATCCTAAAAATATACAACTTTGTAACCACAGCATTTTCAAAAACAATAGAAATTTTAGCAAAAATAGCAGCGGAGTTCAATACCTGTTGGCACCTTGCATTATAGTTAGTAAACTCTTCACAGCCTTAAATATTGGGACTTTTGTGTTTTGCCTCTCTAGATCTAGGTCCATGAGAATGTGTGTCTCTTTGAGAGTTGGTTCTTCAAAATTTTTAATATTATTACTCTTCATAAATCAGAATTGTTAACACAAGAGGTGAGGATAGCTCCATGGTCCTTTTATTCTCACTCTCAGCTTCATATGGTAACTTTACCCTAAAAACCCTAGAAATTCTTAAAACCACTAAAACAAACTCAGCTGACACTAAAGTAGAGTTCAGGTTTTCTTGTAGTGAGAAACTTGCCCCTCATAGTTCTTTGATGTGAAATAATTATCAATTGTGTTTGGAAAAATCCATGAGAATCAAAACTTTCACATCATATTAACATTATACCTGCATTTACTAATTATTTGAAAAAGAATTTTTAAATGAGATATTACACTGTAGCAAAAGCAAAAATATTGTGTCCTGCAGTCAATGACTAGATGTATTTGCCACATCCAGTATTTTTGTTTGTATTTGGAAAATATAGCCCCCGTTTCCATGCTAAATACCTGTATGTCTCCTGATAACAGCCGCTGGGGCTCAGCAATGACTCCTCAAATAGCCAGGCTATTCAGTCAGACAGTGTATGAGCAACCTTGGGTTCAAGAATGTAAAAGATGGTGACTGTGTTTTTGTCTTCAGTAAGGATGAATATAGACTCCTGTGATTGCCAGTTGAGTAAACTACAGCTTTTACTATTGCATTGGGTTCTTCTCCACCAAATGAAAACATCAACAATTATGAAATCTAAGATTACAATAGATTCTGGGAGAAAAAAAAAAAAAGGACAGATTTCTAGAAGGCACAATCAATTAGCTATTAAGAATATTGGTCACATATCAGATTTGGGCCTAAATCAACTACTGCTCCCAACTGGTTTTGTAACCTTAAGTCACTTAACATTTTTAAACCTCAATTTTGTCATCTATAAAATAAGAATTTGGTAGTATCTAGAGAGAGGTGGAGAGGAATTTAAAGTGCCTGGCCCAATGCCCATAAAACTGTAAGCACCATAAATATTTGGGAACAAATAGAAGTCAGTGCATGAATAAAATGATTTGTGAAAAAAGCATTATTTTAAGACTTATGCGGTATTTTAATGCACTGTGTTATAAAATTCTTAGACAGGAAACTCTGTTACCTAAACTGTATTCCCAATACTTATTAAAATAACTGGCACACATGAGTAGATGTTTAGAAATTTTCTTGAACGACTGTAGCTATACCTTAGAATAATAATATCTTACTTTGGTGTAAATCGTTATTTGTAAGGAGCACTTTATCATATATTTGTTCATTTTATATCCACAAAGAAATGTTAGTACCAAAAAAAGCAAAATCAAAAAACCAAAAATACTCAGAAACCTCTAACTTACAATGTATTAGAGTTTAAAAGAGCAGAACTCCTTACATGAATGTTCATAGCAGCATTATTCACAATAGCCAAAAAGTGAAAACAACCAAAATGCCCATCAAAGAATGAATGGAAAAAGAAAATATGAGGTGTCCATACGGATTACTGTGCAGCCATAAAAGTAATAAAGTCCTGACCCATAGATACACCTTGAGAAGATGATGCTATGTGAAGAAGCTGGACACAAAAGGCCATGTACTATAGGATTCTATTTACAAGCATATCTATAACCTACGTTTTCACCTAGATCACCTCTTTCCATTCCTAGCTCAGAGTAACGCCAGGATTCCTGAGTGCGGAGGTATCCGAGCTGGAATTCGTTCCTTCCCCTCTAGCTGTGTCCAGCCCAGCACACTGACTCCAGAGAAATCATCTTTCTGCCCTCCAGCCTGCCCACATCCAGGCCCCTCCTGTGCCCCTCTGGGTTTGCGCTCAGCTCCCCCTGCTGCTGCTCTCACTGTGCTTCCCATGGCGCAGTAGTACACGGCCGAGTCTGACATTTGCACGGAGTGTTTCTCCAGGTGGAAGGACTTGTCACTCTTAAGACTGGCCTGAAAACCGTGATTCTGTACCCTCTGGTTTTCTGATGAGCTCTTCAGGAGGAGCTCGGGCTCTTTGTTTTGATATTGGACATACCAGAAAGCAAAAACTGAGTAGCTGCTCTGGTAGGTGCAGTTCAGGGTCAATGGTGTCCCCTCAGGGAGGGTAACAGAACCTTCTGTCTGGGTCACCGTGTCTCCACTGGTCTCTCCTAGGGGAAAAAGAAGTAAAGACTTTGTTATATTGATAATATAAAAAGGACAGTTTCCATTTTAGGAAGGGTAAAAAAAATTCTTGGGAATTTTGAATAAATGTTACTTGGGAATTTTGAATAATTTTGAATTTTGAATTTTGAATAATTTTTAATTTTGAATAAATGTTACTTACTCAGTATCAGCAGAATAACAAGTCCTGAGTAGGAAGTAGACAGCATGGCTTGTGGAGAAGCAGCAGAAGGTTTTATCTGGGGATATATCCAAAGTTGAGAGGGCCGTTCCTCTAGTTTCTTGATCCTTTAGTGGACTCTTTTAGAAAATCTGGGTTCATGTGTTTAGCAAGAGAAACTGCCCTGCAAGATCATCTCACAGGCTCTGAAAAAGGAGACGTGTTCAGAAATGGAAGATGAATTTGTGTCAAACCACAGACTGAAGAGAGCAGCGCCCTCTTGTGGTTCCCCCCTGAGCCTGCCTGCCCCTTTCCAACTGAACTGGTATTTACCCTGGCCCAGAGCTGAAGTTGTAGAAATAGAAAGGAAATAGGGGTTTAGGGGGAGGGGGAGGGGTTCTGGAAGGAAACTTTTTGCAGACTGCAAGGTGGTGCCTGAGGCTGAGACAATGGGTAATCCTCTATCACCCTAAAATGCAGGGCACCATGGCTCCCTAAATCTCCTTAATCCCAGCATCTAGTGTCTCTTCATGCTGAGTATTAAGCTAGTTTGAGGTTATCTTAGTATACTTAGGATATACTGAGAGTGTAAAAAAAGCATGATCTGAGACTTTCCTTGACACATGCATCCACCGTTCCCCCTCGAGCCAAGGGAAGATCCCTTCTGCTGACAATGTGCTCCCTTCCTCCCCTGACTTTGCTTAAGTAACTTCTATTCATTCTTTAAGAACCAATTTACACAGCATTTCCTTGCTAAAGGACACCCCCAGGTCTTCAAGGGAGTCCCTCTCTGTTCCCACTTTACATATCTAACTACACTGTCATTACTACCTCATAGTAGAATAATTTGTGTTCTGTTTTTCAAACTAGACTTGGTGCTCCTGAGATCAGGAACTTAATCTCATTAGTCTCAGTGGTCAGTTTCTCAAAATATATAAGCCATTAGGAGATGCTCAAAAAATACCTTAAGAATGAGTGATTAATGAATGAGTGGATATGTCTGGTAGGTACAATTATCTTCTTATGAAGCGTAAGCTGGTGTTACCTGTTACCAGCTTCTTCCAGAGTCAGATCCCAGACCTCAATAACAGGTGCATTCAGTGTTTCTCAAAAATTGAGTAAGTTACAGATCTTCATATAAGGAACCACTCTCATACTATTTTTTAAAAAATATTATGTTGCCATAATATACACCAAAATGAAGTTCAGTATAAATGTTTTAGGCTCATAGGTCTTACACAATTACCACACCAAACAAAAAATGCAAACAAAATATAAAATCAATCAAATTCAAGTTCAAATAACATGAAGGATGATCTTTTGTTGAAACTAAAGGATTGCTGTAGCCTCATTAGAGGAATACTAAAGATATGTGTAGTTCAATAACTGACTGGATTAAAATGATTTGGAGCTTCATGTACTCTTGTCTGAATTATTATAATCAGTTGTTCCAAATACATTTTACTTTTCCTATTCAAAAATAGTCATTTAACTTACCACTTTACAAAAGTAAATAATAAAGCTCCCAAAATTCACCACTGAAAAGAAAAACGTATTATGCATTTACCGCTACTCTTAAATCTATTGAATTGTATGTTGATATATTCAAACACTGAGTGTGAGTGACTCACCCTTTTCCAATGGAAACATTGTGGTAACCATGGTAACATAGGTTCTTGGGAGTCTGGCCCATGTTTAGTACCATATCATAACCAAAATTTCCCAAGCCATTTTCTCCATTTAAACAACTGTGATGTCTTTATTTGTAAAATGTCATTAATTCTTTTGTCTTTAATTTAGGAAAAGTGACATAAAGAACAAAAGCATCAAAACCAAGGAGAGTATTCTAAGTTGGTCATACAGATTGTTAGAAATATGCTATTATTGTTTTATTTTGTTGTCATCAAACAAAACTCCACAAATCTAAAAATTCTCAAGTAATTCCTATTTTGAGGGGTTGCCAGAATTTTTTTCTGTAAAATAGTAAATATGTTAGGCTTTGAAGTCACATCTCTGAGTATATACCCAACTCTGCTGTCACAGTATAAGCAGCCAGAGTCAGTGCACAAATAAGTGGGCATGGCTCTTTTCCCAATAAAACTTAATTTACAAAGACAGGTGGCAGCCAGGTGGCAAACAGGTTTGTGGGCTGTCATTTGCCTACCCCTACTTAGCTCTGGGAATTTACCCATAAACCTCCAAAGTTCCACAGGTTACAGTCTGAGAGACTCAGCCATGTGTTCATTTTTTGTCCTTTCATTGCAATATTATCAATATTATCTTTGAGGATGCTTAAAATAAAGGAAGGATATTAAATAAGCAAATAATAGAAAGGAGAAGAATGAGATTTGATGATCTTAATGCCTAAGATATTTTGGTGCTGAGGATTAAGGAGTAAAAACTCAGATATAGTCCCTGCTATTAGGGAGCTCACGGAGTAGTAGTGGAAATAGCTTTTAATAAAATAATCAAAGAAATAAAAGAAAAACTACAAGTTTGAAAAGGCAGGGCCTATAATTCTAAGAGTACACATCAGGGTTTCTTCAGTTACTCTTCACCAGATGTACAAGAAAGAGCAGACATTTGGTAATTTTTACTCTTTTGAAGGGAGGGAAAAGAATTTTCAGAAAGGGAAAAAGAATGAGAAAATCACCTAAAGTTGCTCTGAAAGGGTCATATAGGAGAAACAAAGTGCTTTTAAGGAGCTTAAATAACACCAGTATTTGTGAAGACCGAGACAGGCAGACAGGGAGTGGGAAGAAGGGAGAGAGATTAGAGATATTGTGGAATGAGCTTGTCAAAGTAGCAAGATCCTAGATCATGCAAGGTTTTGTAGGTCATTAAGAAGTTTTTCTTTATTCCAAGAGCAGGTGTAGATCCAGGTGACTGAGGTTGTCAAATTTGCACTCTGACCAGACTCCAAAGGATTACATTGAGGAGTCATGAGGTCAAATGTTAAATGTGCTAAGAGTGGGGAAACGAAGGATTAAGGTGGATTTGTAATTAAGATTGTGGAGTTAGGTCCGAGAGGTTGTGGGGGTTGTGATGTCTTCTGGAAGACTTTTAGGAGAAATTTGACAGAACTGGGAGATAGATTGGTTTTGGTGTTTCAAAAATAAATAATTAGGAATAAGTAAAAAGCATATGAGCCCTGATACACCCTGGTGTGAGGCTGTGGCAGAAACTGCTCATTCCCTCTGTCATGCCCATTGTCTCCTTTTTGTTACTAATAGAATCCTGATTTTAATGTGAGTGGCAACATGTTAAGACAAAAAATAGTCCTGATATCTCAGCCTCACTTGCAGATGGGAGAGAGGTGGAGACATTAAATTACACCCAGGAAAATGAAATGGAAATAGAAGCCATTGGGTATAGTTTCTGGAAAAGATGAACTTGGCCATCATGTGCCCATTTGCCCTCTGATTTTCTCTTTCTTTCTGCCTGGAGGGTGTATAAAATGGACAGATCTCTAGCAGTTTCTTTAAAGTATAAAACCAACAGTGACACCTTCAGGATGAGAGACAGTGAACTAGAAAGACACTTGATCTTTCCTAAGATGATGAAGCCAGCATACCACCCCTGCATATGAGAGAGCTTCTTTGTGTGAGAGGAAAATAAATTCCAGCCTGTTAAAAATATTATCACTTGAGTTTTCTGTGACATGAGCCTGAACAAATCTCTAAACTGATACAGAAAATGTTCATTAAGAACACAAATTCATTGTTTCCATCAGAGACTGAGGGAGTAAGCTGGGATAGAGCCTAATACTTCAGATTTTCGAAGGTGCTCTAGGTGATTCTTATACAGGTGATGTTGATGGTTGAAGTCTGGCATTTGGGAACCACTGCCCTGTAGAACATTTCCTCTATCCTCCCCCACCTTTTTCACCAAACATGTGCATAAATAGAAATGCCCAATTTTCTCCACAAACACATTTCCAGTAGTATCAAAATTTAATTAAGAAAGCTACATCAAACCATATGATCCAGTAATTCCATTACAGGATACTTACCCAAAGAAAAGAAAACACTAATATGAAAAGATATGTGCATCTCTATGTTTACAGTAGCATTATATACAATGGCCAAGATGTAGAAGCCATCCAAGTATGCATCAATGATGAATGGGTAAAGAAGATGTGAGATCTATAGACATATAGTTAGAGATGAATATAATGGAATATTACTCAGCCATGAAAAATAATAAAATCTGGCTACCTGCAACAACTTGGATGGATTTAGAGGGTATAATGCTAAGCAAAATAATCAGTCAAAGAAAGACAAATACAATATGATTTCATTCATATTTGGAATTCACAAAACAAAACAAGTGAACACAGAAATAAATAAATAAATAAATAAATAACCAAACTTAACTATAGAGAACAAACTGGTAGTCACCAGAGGGGAGGTGGATGGGGGGATGGGTGAAATAGGCAAAGGGGATTAAGAGTACCCTTATGATGATGAGCACTGAGTAATGTATAGAATTGTAGAATCACTATATTGTACACCTGAAACTAATATAACACTGTATGTTAATGATACTTGAATTATACTTGACAACTATATCCAACATTTATTTACTACTAGGAAGAGACATAAATGAAAACTGCTATGTGTTTGATGATAGAAGTACCCACTTTTTAAAAACAAAATTTCAGGGCAGTGGCAGTGGGGAACATGCATCTCTCACCCAAGTGGGGAGAACCACTTGTTCTGCCTTTATCTCGTAAGTTCTCCTTTGATTCGTGGGGAGATTGAGGCTTGGAAATCACAGGACTAGTAAGCGCAGGATGAGATTTGGAGTTTTGCTTCTATGGGTACACAATGTTTCCACTCCTCAGCTTTAAATTGGAAAATTTGGCTGAAAGAGTTCCAAGATCCTTTCTACTTCTTTTTTCTATACAGGAATTGGAGGGAGGTGATAGTAATCTCACACATCTCAAGGGGCCATCTGGGTCACCAGAGGATTGCACATATGAGACCTTCTAATACAGAGAATTCCTTCCTCATCCTCTGTAAGTGTCCAGAGCTTAGCTTCTTCCCTGATAAAATGAGAGCTTGGAGGGCCTTTCGGGCTTGTCATTCCAAGCCCTTCATTTCCAGTGAGGAAAAGGAAGGCTGCTATGCTGATGCTCTGCCCAAAACCACAGAACTGGGATTGGCAGATTTGAACCTGGCATTGTAGTTTCTCACTCTAAACTTCATACCCTTTGCCTTGGTACAAGGTGATTCCAAAGAAACCATGAATTTGAGAGGGTCCGTCTTTCATCTCGCCCGCTCTTTATAGACTCTCCTTCCTGTGAAGACTTAACCACGAATGCTACCCACTGTGGGGCTTCAAAGGGGCAGCTTGGGCAGAGTTTGTGCAGAGGCTGCAGGTGCCTGGTGAACATTGTGTCTTGTGGCACAGATGTAAGTAGCAGAGTCTGCAGTCTGGGAAGCAATGATGGACAAAGAACTGCTTTTGATAGAGTTGTCCAGGGTGACCCGTAGCCTTCCGCTGTGTTTCTCTCTTTCATTTGAACGTATTAAAATCAGCTGGACAAAGCCTTGACCCGAGTCTTGTCTATACCACTGTAAGTTGCTTATCGAAGTTTTATAACTGCAGTTCATGGTGGCATTTTCACTCTCCTGGATGCTCAGGACCTGATGATGCTGTTCCTGCTGGCTGTTCACCACTAGGCAAAAACAGAAGGCCAGACACCAAGAGTCAGTCATTGTACTTTCACTCTTTAGTATTTACATTTCTTTCCATAATTTCTTTCCATAATATGGTACATTTTCAACCTAACAAGAAGAGTTTGCCCAAACTCAGTCTTGTGGGCTCTGAGCTTAGGTCGCCCTGTTCCTATAAATTTGGTCCCCCCCGCCCCCCGTTTCCATTACCAAGAGCCCCAACTTACTGGGCAGTTGAAGCCATAGTATCAGCAAAGACACTTCCAGGAGTTTCTCCATTCTTCTTCCTTATTGGGATCACAGAAGACTCGGCTCTATGGACTGAAATGCGGCCAGGATACTCAATCGAAAACACTGGCTGTTTCTATGGGGTATATTTATCTGTTCCTTCTGGATGCTGGAGTCTTACCTGACCAATCAGAAGCCAACCCAATCGTTTTCAATACACACAAACTGATTTCAAACCTATTGAGTCTGAGGAGAGACACTGCCATCTTGTGGTAGCAGCATCATATTGCTGATAGAATGTACTCTTTTTTTTTTTTTTTTTTTTTTTTTTTTTTTAAAGATTGTATTTATTTCTTTAACTGACAGAGATCACAAGCAGGCAGAGAAACAGAGAGGAGGAAGCAGGCTCTCCGCCGAGCCGAGAGCCCCATGCGGGGCTCGATCCCAGGACCCCGAGACCCCGAGACCATGACCCAAGCCCAAGGCCTTGTTTAACTCACGGAACCACCCAGGCACCCTGATAGAATGTACTCTTAAAAGATAAAAAGGGCGAATCAGAAACCATTATAAAGCAGTGATGCCCACCTTCTTGCCGTGACGTCACTGTCCTCCCTCTAAGCCTGTGGTCCAATCCTAATCTCTTCTCATAAAGACACCAGTCATACTGGCGGAGGGCCCACTCTAATGATTCCATTTTAACTAAATTACCTCTTTAATAACCCTACTCCCAATACGGTCACATTTTGAGGTACTAGGGGGCTAGGAACATACAAATTTGGATGGGGAGACAATTCATCTCCTAATAATGAGTATCTGATATTTCTGTTTCTATGGAAGCAATCAGTAGGGTACAGGAAGAGAACCAGTTTTGCAATCAGGCCAGGGAGGTCAAGCTTAGATCTACCCATTCAGTAGTTGTTTATATCATTTGTGTCTGTATTCTCTTGAATATAAAATGTGGATGATGAGTAATAATAATATTGCTTTTTTAGAGTTCTGGAAATGATTGATGAGATAATAAAATACTATTTAGAGCAGAGCCTGACATTTACTAATGGCTCAAAAATTATTGTTGTTATAAGAAAATGGTTCCTGATGCTGAGCAGTAAACAAGAATGGCAAACACCCCCTACAGTATTTTCTAAATGGTTTCAAAAACTGACTTTAAGATGTTCTGTGTGTAAACTAGAGAGATGAGGAAGAGGGGAAGGAAGAAACATAAGGAAGACAGGAAAGAAAGGAAGAAGGGGAGAGGTTGTTGGCTGGAGATTAGAGAGTGCTAGGAGGTACTTCTAGAAGAAAGTTTGTGTTGGGTGACTACCACAGCAAACCTGGGTGTTTATCACTATGAGACAAACAGTAAAGCTTTCTGAGCAAGGAACTGATGTAATTTAAGGAGTTTACATTTTAATCTGTCTGGTCTCTGCTACATACTTTTGAAAAAATTTGTGATGAAATTTTTTACTAGTGGTTAAAAGATGATCCCTGGCTCTAAGAAATTAAGTGACTCTTCCACTGCTTCAAAAGAATCTAGCTCCATTATTATTGGTATCTATTTGACTGTATACAGGAAAAGTATATTGAGAAGCAGGAAGAGGAAACAAAGGGGCACCCAGGTGGCTTAGTCAGTTAAACATCTGCCTTTGGCTCAGTTCACGATCCAGGGTCCTGGGATGGAACCCCACATTGGGGTCTCCACTCAAGGGGGAGTCTGCTTCTCTCTCTCCCTTTTTCCCTCCTCCCACTTATGATCTCTTTTTCAAATAAATAAAATCTTTAAAAAAAAAAAAAAAAGGAAACGGAAACATTACTGACCTCTGGAAAGAACTGGGAGGTGAGCTAGCTGGGGTAAAAGGGAAACTTTTCATTATTAATGTTAATGGAACACCAGAGCAATACATGAAAAAGCAGGATCATTTAGGGCTCAGACCCTTTGAGAATGAAGTTTGGGGTCACTTTTCAAGGCAAACAACCCAAATCCAGCAGGGTTATGGCTTTGGGCAGGGAAATGGAGCTGTGTCAACTGCAGCCCCATGACAAAATCTGGATTCCAAGAATGTGGTAACTTTCTCTATCTTCCCTTTGTTCTTTATGCGTGTGGTTTCTTCTGTATATGCTATCATTTTCTTTTTTCTCCCTCCTTCTCACCACTATATATAAATTGTCAGAGATTAACTTTGTGATTTAGTCTGTGCATAACAGCATATTCAATGGAACTTCCTCTGAATTTTTAGAAATGATTAATATAGCAAGAGAGGGCTAATGACTGTTGGGACTACAGGTCTCATTTTGGGGAAAGGTTAAGAACTTCTCTTGTTCAAAGGACAGTTTTAGCTTGCTAGATTGTAACATAGTCATTTCATTGTTGTTTAGAAGTTCAAATGTGCATGCAGAGGTGCATATGAAAGATAAGTAACCATAGGAATGAAGTGTGCCAGTCATTGATTTATTGCCTTTCTTTCTTATTGCCAAATCCAAATTTCAGTGCTCCCTTTGCGATATTGGGCCTGCTCCATGGAACATTTCTCCTTCACCAGCTGGCATGATATCAAGCTATGCCAATAAGAGGAACGTGGAAGGGCACTGCAGGAGGGAGAAGCTTCTCTTCCTGGTGCTGGTATGTCTTCACGTTTCTTGTTCCTGAAGTTCTTGTCCAGCCAGCCTGAGGCACATGCAATGGGATTCACCTGCAGTAAGGTTCAGTGACAGACGCACATCAGCTTCCTGACAAGATTGCTGAGTCCCCAGAGCAAGTTTTGCTTCTTTGCTAGCTTCCTATAACTTTGTTGGAACCCTGGTAGGCGTTTTTCTGCTTGCCAGCCTTTTTCTCTGGCACCTCAGCACACTTCTCCACCATTCTGCAAGCTGCAGCCACACACTCCCCAGGGAGATCAGAATCCTTGGACAGTACGGTATTACAATATGTCACTTACTTGGGAACCCTGGCTTAATCCTAAGGTAAGAACTTCTCCCTACATATGCTATTTCTATGTTCTTTAGAGTTCTTTTTAATTATTTGTATTAATAATTACTGATTAGATTCAGATTACTGTGGGTTTCTTTTTTCTTCTGGTTGAGTTAGTAGGAGTCCGTGAAGTTCATGACAGGAAAGGCATTCACATGCCATGAAACAGTATAGTACCTTCAAGGAACTGTGCTTAGGTATAAGGTGATGAACATATGTGGGGTGGGATTGAGTGGCAGAGGAGTTGGAGAGGTGAGACCCAACCCACTGGAGAGTTGTCCCGGCCAAGAAAAAAAAAATTTTTTTATGCTATGCTATATAGTTTATTTCAGGAGTACTTTTTCCGGGTACTACTAGACAGAATAAACACACTTATATCTTTAAAACAAATTAAACAGAGTTGGTAATGAGAATTTCCTTGGACAAATTTTTGAGATTAATCTATAGCTAACTGACAACCAATGATATTATATCTAAGAGGTAAACTCAATGTGAGTCTCCAGAGAAAGAATACCCCACCATGGCCATATAGAGAACTTATGAAGAGGGGCACCAGGGTGGCTCAGTCAGTTAAGTGTCAGACTCTTCATTTTGGCTCAGGTTATGATCTCATGGGTTGTGCGATCGAGCTCCCTGTTGGGCTCCATACTCAGCGTGGAGTCTGCTTGGTATTCTCTCTCTCTCTCCTTCTGCTCCTTTCCCCACTCACGTACACGCTCTCTCTCCCTCTCTCTAAAATAAATAAATCTTAAAAAAAAAAAAAAAGAAATTCTGAAGAAATACTTTCTGTAACTCCTAAAGGGTTTGTGCTCTGCTTCCCTTATGAAACCAGTTACTGTGTCACTCAGAGCACAGTAATACGTGGCTGAGTCTTCCTCTTGAGCTGATTGTTTCTTCAGATGGAAAGATGTCTCATCTCGGTTAAGGTTGGCCACGAAGCCTTTGGTACTCTCTCCTGAGATGTGCTTCAGGAGTAACTGGAGGGCCTGTTTGGGATACTGGACATACCAGAAGAGTATGGGACTCCCAGAATACGAGTAGTTGCACTTGATCTGCACGAAGTCCCCTTCAAAGATGGAGATGTGGTCCTCAGGCTGGGTCACTGTCTGAGCTCCTGTTCCTCCTGTAACGCCAATTTAACATCAGGGAAGTCTTGCAGACTGAGGAGAATATTCCTTTCAACTAATCTAAATCAGGAAGACCCCAGAAAGAGAATAAAAAGGCATTATACTCACCAAGTGTGAATATTGTCACCAACACTGAGAGGAGGGTGGCCTTCATGTCAGAGCTGCAGAGAAACAGGGGCTTTTTTCTGCAAACGGTTCAGCCACATGGACACTGACAAAGTGGTAAGTGAGTTTACCGGTATGTAAAGCAAAAGCTCTTCTTCAAAGACCTGGTTGGTTTCTGGCTTTTGTGAAGTTCAATTTGTGTAACATCTTTCTCTAGAGGCAAAATCGGATACTGCAGATGTTCTTGGTCTTTCAGGAAGCCTTGAAATTCTCAGAATGAAGAGGCATTTTCCTCTTCAGTTAATAAGACAAATTGGAATGCTTTACTAATTGAAAAAGCGTGCTACTATAAAGGTCCAGATAGATCAATGGGGTGGAATTGAAAGTTCAAACATACAAATTACTGATGGAAACTTAGTTACAACAAAAATGGGGAAAGGTAAGTTAAAAAAAATTAAATGTGCCTTGATAAATGGAGAGTCATTTAGAAATTAACAAACGAATGTGGACAGCTACCTTAATATCTGTGACAAAATAAAATGTTAAAATTTAACATTTTAAAATAAAATAAAAGATAAGCTATTTTTAAATAAATTTAGGATGGTCATAGTTTGTTTAAGCCTGTCAGAAAGCATAATAGAAAATATTGATAGATCACATTTCATAGAAATTTAAACTTCTGTACAGGTATGATAATGAAATGTTTAAACATTATCAGATCAAGAGATTTTCCATCCATCATCATTGATTCTGACCTTCCCTACATCAGGAAGTTGCCCTTTAGAATTTAAGTTCTACAAGTTTTTTTTAAAAACAGGTCATAACAATTATTATATATTCTCCCTGATAGGAAGAATTAGAGAGGCAGGGTAGGGGATTTGGGGTGTAGGGAAGGAAAAAATGAAACAAGATGGGATCAGGAGAGAGGCAAACCATAAGAGACTCTTAATCTCGGGAAACAAACTGAGGGTTGCTTGGGGGAAGGGGGTAGGGATGGGGTGGCTGGGTTATGGACATTGGGGAAAGTATGTGCTATGGTGAGTGCTGTGAAGTGTGTAAGCCTGACGATTCACAGACCTGTACCCCTTGGCAAATAATACATTATATGTTAATAAAATTAAACACCCATTTAGCTTAGAAAGAAGGCAATTCTAGATAGATGATAGACTGAAAATGTCCCCGACTCCCTGTGCTTTGCCAAAGAGTGGTGACCAGCCAGGTTATGCCAAGAGAACTCAAGTGAGGAATCCTATGTGGATTCACATATAAATCTGGGGTCAGATATCAGGGAACTTGAGGATGAAGAGCAGAAAACTATGGAACACTGAGAGAGCTTGGCCTGCCAAGATCACTGGGCCTCTAAGAAGGAAGCTTTTCTCCTGAGAAAGCCTATCCTCTAGCTCCCAAATAGCTGAAAAGGAAGTAACAACTAGGCCGAGTCTGTCCTTAATAAAGAGGAGTACAAGGAGATCAGAGAGCAAAAAGGTTTCCTTCTAGTTTTTCAGCAGGGTACTGACATTGCCCTGCTGACTGCTAAACGTCTGACCATGGGCACAGAAACATCTAGGCTCATCATTCTCATATGATCACCTCCACATAGACTGTCCCCAGTAATCAGACATGAAAGAGGGGAGTAAAGAAAGGGAAAAGAAGCTTCAGAGAGAAATGAAGTCCTCCTCTGGGTCAAGTACAGCCTGAAAAATGATCAGGGTCAGTGACCCAATTTCCTTAGCTGAAAATCAGGACACATAATCTGAAAAGTGATTGAGAATTCACTTATAAGAAATCTGTGTCTTGGGGTGCCTGGGTGGCTCAATGGGTTAAAGCCCCTGTCTTCAGCTCAGGTCATGATCTCAGGGTCCTGGGATCGAGCCCCACATTGGGCTCTCTGCTCGGCAGGGAGCCTTCTTCCCCCTCTCTCTCTGCCAGCCTCTCTGCCTGCTTGTGATCTCTGTCTCCCTGTCAAATAAATGAATAAAATCTTAAAAAAAAGAAAAAAGAAATCTGTGTCAAAGAAGGAATACATTGTTGAATGCATTGTTAATTTACTCAATCCCTTAAGGAAGTGAATATAATTAAATGTAATTAGGAGAATTCTGTAAATCTCAGACTTGTGGTCATCATGAACAAATAAAATGTCTTGAACAAGACTTTGGTTGATGGAAGGAAATTGAACGTGTATATGATGGTCACCCTGATCTCATTTTTATCTCCCTTCATCTCTTTTCCAACACTTTCCCCGTATACCCTGCAGGTACATCTGACCAATTCTGTTCTGTGACTATGACGTATAGGCCACATTTTGAAATGTCCTATTTCTTTCTCCCAATCTCTCTTCTCCTCACTGTCTTTTCTCTTCTCTCTCTACATGTGCTCATTATTTTTCTCCCATTTCATCTTCTCATCTCCTTTTTCCCCTGTTTTTCTAATTTCAGAGGAGGTACAACAGAAGGTAGAAATCTTTGGAATAATTTTGAAGTGAGGATAAAGGCTCATACTTTATAATTTTTAGTCATAAACATCAAAATGGAAATAAGTAGTGTAAATGTTTTCTCCTGGAGCTTCCAGCTTTCCCTTTACTCTAGATGATGCTCAGTTCTGCTTGGAGTCCTCTCTGTCACACCCATCACAGCAGCAGACCATTCTCACAGATGAATATATGGCAATCTCCTTGTCCTGAAAAGGTATGACTAGTCTAGATGCTCTCCCAACTGCTGCTAGCTCTCATTCAAATTTTCACTAACATCCAACTATCTCAGAACTAGAGGGAAAAAGTCGCTCTTTTATAGTAATGCCTAGAGTGCCCCTACTGGTCGAAACCAGGCTGGGGATTTTTTTTTTTTTTTTTTAAGTGAACTGGTTTCTTTGTCAAAATGCCATTTGATGAAGGCTATTATCTTAAAATATCTTGTCAAATTGAACCTTCAGGGTTGCATGTAATTTCTCCAAACTATTTAAAAATAAGCCCACAGCAATTTATTGAAGGTCTTCTTAAACTAGATCTTGTGCTAGGTCTTAAGAAATCAAAAACTGAATGAAACATTGTCGCTATTCTTAAGACACTGAGGTATAGCAGGAAAGACAAACATGTGAGTGTTTGTATCCCAAAATATCCCAAATAGCATCCCAGAAAAGTACAAAATGAACCCAGAAATAAGGAGACATTTCTTATAACAGAGGGCAGTTCGATAAAGATTTAGTAAGAACATGATCATTTTGTCCTTTTCCCAGAAAAGATAGAAAGAAATGTTATCAATAGATTAAGAAGAGATATTATTTTGGGAGTAGACTAGAGATGTTTCCCAGAAGAAAATAAAAGAGGGGTGATAGGGTGCCTGGCTGGTTTGGTTGGAGGCACATATGATTCTTGATCTCTGGGTTGTAACTTTGAGCCCCACAGTGGGTGTGGAGCTTAATTAAAAATAAAATCTTTGAAAAAAAGAGGAGGTGAACAGAGATGTAGAAAGAAGTCGGAGGACATGAAGTATAATTGCTTACTTATTACTAATTTCAAAATGAATTTCTGCTCTGTGAGGCTTAATTCCTGTGTGTACAAACTTTTATAACATTTTGGGGCAATTTTTTAAATCACATAAATCACATATAATTTAGAGTCATAATCATGTATATAAAACATCTTAAACGTATGAACTCTTTGACACAGCTGTTTCAGAGGAATAAAAATATTCCCTGGTTTTGGATACCCCTATTAGAATTAATGTAATCTTTGACATCGTGAGCTTTGGTCGTGGAGATCTATTTTCCTATGAACTTCGTTAATGTGGTTTGAAAGACTAGGAATCTTTGTTGAGTGTGCAATTTTATATTATATCATGAATTAGTGTGGCTTCTTACAAAATACCTAAGAGTTTTTCAGCAGATATTACATTTGATACCCTTTTATGGGTTAGGAGCCTCAAATTTTTAATTCGAAAATCACTGGGATAACTTTCAAAAAACAATTATGACTGGGTGACTTTTAGAATCTCAATATTGCTTTAAGAATCATGTAAATTAGGTTCATTGGCTTTCTGTTACACAAGATTGGAAATCTAGGTATTGTGATGTCTATTTTACTTTAAAGTATGTCAGTGTCACACAGTTGGATATTTAGGTGCTAGCAGTTAAGCTTCAAATCTAGGTGGAGACTGAATTGCACTGATTAAAAACCTTTGCTGTACACGTTGCCTTTGTTGAGAACGTACGTGGCCCAGCTTGTCCGCTAACATCATAACCAAGTACTTCCGTTTTCCACATGGAGATCAACACCTGAGGCAGTGCCAATTACTTTAATGAATGCTAGAAGTGATTTTTTTAAAACACAAATGCTCTTGCCTTTTCCACTTCAGAACTCTGACACTTCATGACATACTCAGAGTGGGAGTGGCGTGGGGAATTGGTGGAGGTGCGTCTCTCCTGGAGAAATTCATCAGAAGACCTCCATCTGGAACAAAGTCTATCTTAATGCAGCACAGCATTACTGCTGAAGCAACTACTCAAGAGTAAAGCGTTTCCCAGAGCCCAGCCTGTCCTGCCCTATATTTCTTCACTGAGGAAGAGATCTGGGGAAACTCTCTCTTGAGGTCCTGAGTCACAAAAAGTCCCAGTGTCTCAGGAGGTTTGTGTTCAGCTCCCCCTGCAGTCCCAGACGCTGTGTCACTCACAGCACAGAAGTACTCGGCCGTATCGCTCCCATGCGCTGAGTGTTTCCTCAGGTGGAAGGAGGATTCAGTCTTCCTAAATTCAGCCTCAAAACCTTTGATGCCTTTAACCAGGGTGTTCCCTGAAAAGTACCGGAGGACAAGCTGGAGGCTTTGGTTGGGGTACTGCACGTACCAGTAGAGATAAGGAGTTCCACTATAGGAATAGTTGCACCTCAGCTCCAGAGCAGCTTCTTCAGAGACAGTGACATGGGCATCGGGCTGGGTCACCGACTGAGCTCCGGTTCCTCCTGAAACGTCAATGCCAAGTCAGTGAGTCCAAGACAGACTTACCTGGTAAGAGAAGGTGTCTTTATTCTGCATCCAGTTAGAACATGGTCACTTTTGTGTAGGGAGGAAAAGAAAGGGAATGTTACTCACTTGGGGCAAAAATCACGTCAAGCATTGAGATGAGCAGCAGGAGCATGGCTGAGCAGTGGAGACACTGTGGGCTTTCTGCACAGGTAGGACAGTAGCTGAGATCACTAAGCCTTCAGAGCTACAGGAAGAGTGGGGAGGTGGGGCTTGACAAGTCTGTGGCTTTGACAAGTTTCAAAGAACGTAAGAAGGAGTCTTTCTCTTCTGGCCTCTTTTTGTCACGGTTTCTTCTCTGCACAACGTCAGCCAGCTGCAGGAAGGAGGGGCTGATTGTCTGGTGAGGACCTGGAACCAGAACAAACGTCTCTTCTGTGCAGCATCACCCTCTGCCTCCACAGGCAGGACCAAGGATCTGAGAGAGCTAGCTGTCTTCTGTTCTCATTTCAGAGAGGTGATCATCAGAACTTCAACAGAAAGTGTTCCTTCCTCCCTGAATCTGTGATGATGTCACCTTCTGTCGTACATGGTATTAGTCCCAAAATAAAAGAGAAATGGGAGCTTTGTAAAAATAGAAGAGTAATTTACTTCACTGAGAAATTAGTCACAGAAGAGAATATTTTACTTTGGAGTATGGTTGAGAGGCTTTATATTACCTTTTAAAGCCATTCATCAGGCAGAAGGACTAAAATCAATTGCCTCAGTGGAGCTGAGCTTCATATGGCCTTGCACTGCTGGATGATACTTAAAATTAGCCTGGAACATGTGACATTATCTAATCAGTGCAAACTTACAAAGGCAGTACTTTTCTTTGTCAGGTAGAAAGTGTGAAGAAGATTCCTTGGTTTCAGGTGAACATGTTTAATGTGTGTTTATGCTATGAGAGAGTAACCTGGGCACCCCATGTTTAAGCGGAGAAAGGGAGAGTCCTGTTCTAATTGTCAGACTGATAAATTTTGCCAAACGATGGAGACCTCACACTAAAAAAAAACCAGAAAAGTGAGCAGTATTATAATTGTAAGGGAAATATGACATATAAATAAGTGATTCTAGAAGGAATTAAGGAAAGAGAAAAATAGTGAATCTATATGAACTCAGTAAAGCTGGACGGAGTGCAGCCAGCATACTGGAAATGAGAGCAAATTCCAGGTTGCATCTTTTTATCAGTGACTATGGGAACAAAAATGAACAGAAATCTTAACTCCCCATTTCCAGATTTTCCCACACTTTTAGACTACATAAACAGTGTACTGTCTAATGGGCCACATCTTCAGCTTTACAGTAAATGTGACTTTTACATTCTCCCCCTGTAATTGTAACATTTACCACAAGGCCTTATTTCTATCAAGCCAGAAACATTTTTCCTGGACTTGGGCATAAGTTGTAGGGCAATTCCAGAGGAGGGTTTTTTTTTTTTTTTTAAAGATTTTATTTATTTATTTGACAGAGAGAGATCACAAGTAGGCAGAGAGCCAGGCAGAGAGAGAGGGTAAGCAGACTCCCCACTGAGCAGAGTGTCCGATGTTGGGCTCGATCTCAGGATGCTGAGATCCTGACCTGAGCCGAAGGCAGAAGCTTAACCCACTGAGCCACCCAAGCGTCCCCCAGAGGAGGGGTCTTTTGGTATAATCTTTGGTGTTATCAACTTCCTTCCCTCAACAACATTTTCTAAGACATCATCTTCAATACCATGTGGTATTTTCATAATTGATCCATGCCGGTCTTTAATCACCATAACAAAACTCCTCAGTGTCTGAAACTTTTTTAGATACTTGCTTGGCGATCCTTCTCAGGAAATCTGAAGTCATTCTGTGCTCCCATGCTCTACCTGTGGGTATAAGGCATTTTATGGCCATGGCTAATGCTTTTAATTCCTGTGTGCATCTAGAGAGCAAAGAGAATTTCTCTACCCTGCAGCTTAGGCTCTATATCAAGACAGTGCTGGGATCCTAGAGGGTTTGGGTACAGACAGCAGGTGCCAGGGAAGTACTGTGTGCTCACTGCACAGAGGTAGATGGCTGAGTCGCTGGGCTGGGAGTCTCTGATGAGCAGGGAGACATATTGTTTTGCTCTATCAACCTGTCCCGAAAATCTTCCTTCCGTCTTGTTACCTTTGGAGTACATGTACATCAGCAACTCAGGGCCCTTCCCGGAATACTGTCTGTACCACATGAAGTACTGGGAAGCACTGTCGCTGTAATTGCAGTTGAGAGAGGCAGCGTCTCCCTCCCGAAGGCTCAGAGATCCGGGACTCTGCTCCACTCCCTTCTGTTGACTCCTCATCCCTATGAAAAAAGACAGGGGTCAGTCAAAGGATATTTGTTGGGTAGTGGTTGCTTACTCTCCAGAATTTAAATGAATTTTCACAGGCCTCCTATCCCACCCCTCCCTAAGTGGGGGAAATCGTTCATGTTTCTACCCACAGGCCCAGAATAGATGAAAACTCCAAATACTGGACTTTATATTCCCAGAGAGATGCCCCAAACTCACAGGTTAACTGAAGCCACAGGATCACTAGTAAAACTCTTGAGGACTTCATCGTTCTATCTTCCCCAGGTTCACTGAGGATTCAGATTTTAAGCCCTAAAAAAATGAGTCTAGCTCAGACATTTCAAATTCTTCTGCTTTCCTACCAATTAGGAAAAAAGAGACTTTTTCACCATCCCTGCTACACCACCAAGCCCCTCCTCTCGACTCCCCCTCTCTCTCTCTCTCTCTCTCTGTCTCTCACAAACACACACACACTGAGGTTTCTTCACTCCCTGAGAAAACACTGCCATCTTGTGGACTCATGTTAGTGATCAAAGAAATGTTCAAAATGTAGATCCTTATTATATGAACTGATAGAGTAAAAATCTGCCACTTTAGTAAAATTAAAATTTTAAGAAGCACATGGTCCAAGTCAGTGTGTGTGGGGAAAGGGAGATGTGTATGTGTTTTACATAAAATGGTAACACTTGTCTGAGCAAAAGCAATTATAGAAAACAGCCACTTTCCTGCACCGAGAAAGCGGTCATAGAGTATTCTGTTTTAGAAGCCCCATGAGTTTCGTGCGATTCAGGGAGGATTTTATATTGTGTACTCTTCTCCACATCAGGCCAGACACTTCCTATCTTATTCCCTCATCTCCAATTTTTAAAGAAATTTATTCTAAATCAAAAGAATCCTTTCAAGACAGTGGCCCCAAATCTGACCAAATAAACATGTTTCCAGCTCAAAACTTGAGCAATATTTTTTTAGCAAGGCCAAGAGCTAGAGAAACTTGGGATTCTTCATACCATTTTGCACCAATGACAAATGTGTATCAAAATAGTGCTTACTATAGCTGTCATTATTATTATTATCATTACTATAGAGATGGATCTGACTTCAATATCTAAACTATAAATAAAACCTAGTGTACATGTTTGTTTTTCTAATTCTTCTTATTTCCTTTTCTTGCATAAGGCTTCAGTATTTAGGGATTCATTTCCAAAAGTTACAGATCTGGTCTTGCACTCTATGCAGATCCATCCTACCCTAGCCAGCAAACCAGATTTATCAGAGGGCAATGTATGCTGGAAGCTTCCCGGGGGCTACAGAGAAACAAGCACAGACAACAGCTGTCTTTCCTATTCCACAGCCTGTCACGTGTCCTCACAGAAGCTGGTGGCTTCGGATGAGCAGTGGCACAGTCCTCTTCCATTCAGGAGCCATGTAATCATGCAATCAGTACCCAGACAAAAGAGACTGGTCAGGCTTTTCCCAAACTGTGGCAGAAACAGAATGAGGGAAAAGAGGCTAATATTGGAATCCCTTCTCTAACAGTACACTCCATTTGACAGAAACCACATAGTCACTTCTCAGTAAAGGTAAAAACCAAAGGAGATGGGACAGCCACAGAAGATAGCAACCATACATGGTCTTGGGAAATTTATGAACACCAAATACAAAGCCTTAAAAATAGAACGTGGACCTGAAGCAGAGTCTTTATATGAAGCACCCCACCCTTTTTTAAGATTTGTCACAAAAATGAATATAAATTTCCAATAGACTTAATACTGTGGTGGCTGCAAATCCATATCCGTGCTGGCAAAATGACAGAATCCACATAGCATCAGTGCTGTCCTGCCTGCAGAAGATTCCGTGCCTAATGCTGTCTAAAGAATATATGGAACTCCTTCAGATGATGGAAGGACGGTGCTGAGAAATCAATCAAAAAGGAAATCCACAGTCCCCTCTCTCATTTGATTTAAGTAGTCTTCATTTTCGACACTAGTACATTTTTTAGATATGTCTTGTGAACCTCAAAGGACTGCAGAGCAGCCTTCATTCAAAGGAGATTTATCTCAGATTGAAAATGCTAGTATAATTTTGTGTCCCTTTAAATTCACATATTTCAAATGTGCTCCAGGTCCACGTTCTGGGTACTGATGACATGGCAGTGCCATACATTGTTTGTATCTCCTCTTTTTTCCTGTACGATTTAAAAGTCAACTACATAAACAATACAGTGATGTTAACGAGCACACAATGGGTAAAGATGAGTGTGTTTCCGTGCATATAAAAATCTCCAGTTTTGTGGGTAGTAGAAAAAGAGCAACAGCCCTGGCACCTGAAAGAGGAAAACCCATAGACCCTGAGAGGTCAGGAAGGGTGAGGGATGAATGCTGTCTCTGTGTGCTAGATCCAGGACTGCCACCTGGCAAGACAACCATGTGATCTGCTGGGGCCAAGCAACAGCTGCAGTTGGCAATTTGACCTCCTCTGGCTGGGCATCATCTTGCACATTCTACGAAAACAGAAAAACTGAAATGAATATGGCCTGTTCTGAACTATTCTGCTGTGTCCAACACCATCAGAGGAAGCTTCTCAACATGGAGTCCTATCCCCACATGTGCACACAAATATAAATCAGCACAGCCTTTTTCCAATCTGACTGGTGCCAACATATATGCTTCTGACATCCAATCAGTCTTGAACTATGCCTTGTGAAGTGTTACAGAGTTTGCAACTGCTCAGTAACAATTCTCATATAGCTTAACCAAAGTGATGGAATGCTGACTTTCATCAAGTTTAACAATAAATCCCTCACTGGGTTAACTTGTGATTTCTTGGGTTTTATGTTGATGTCTGGGGAGAAAAGGGCCAGAGAACACTGTTTTATCAGGAATGTGGTTGTTTCTTGGTCTTTTTTTTTTTTTTTTTTTTGACAATTAAACCAAAGATCGGTGTGTCAGTTTAAACTCCCTTGCATGGATCATAATGAATATTAGCTTATATCCTAGCTGTCTGTATCCTGGGACTTAATCACAGATGACTGAATTTGGGATCCTAGGAGGCATGGTTAAAGTTAATGCTGCAAATTGGTGTCATCATGCTGCTTAGAGTTCTGCCAACAGTAACTTGAATCAACTGCTGTTGAAGACAAATTGAATGGATTTAGTCTTGGTCTCTTTCAGTCAGAATAATCAGCATGGCTGATGGACTCGCATATTCATGAGAAACCTTTCTAGAAATGCACAGGGGAGTGGTTATTGTTGAAAGACAATCCACCATGAATCTTTCATACTTCTACATATCTTGCTGGGTGTGCCAGTAATATAAGGTCATGACCACTCAACCTGAACCAATTTTTAGCACTGTGCTTGCAGCAAGCAACCTTGAGCAATATGGTAATGTCTTCTTGGAGACAAAGAACAAGCTTGCTTGCTGCTTGCTAAAAAAGCAGTAAATTCCCCAAGCTCAGTGTTCCTTGGCTATTACATAATCCCACTGCATGCATAACTTCCCTGTGTACCCATTATATCACCCTGTGAAAATGAAGAGCAAAGGCAACTGAAGCAAATATGCCAATGTTCTTGCTTTGCAAAAATAAAATGCTTTGTCTCTGACCTAGGAGTCCTGCATCTTCAAAAACAACATCAAAGAAACAATAAGATTATTAGCTTGTAAGAAGGTCAAGGTCCAAGTCCTGCCAAACCCCTTCTCTCCCACATTTATAAATACTTTAGTAAAGATTTGAATGCCTTTGAGAAAGATAAGTTTGCCCAAACTGGTCTAGAATGGACTTTTTTTTGAAGGATGTAATGTATAGCCCCATATGGGACTTATAATTTCTGATAAAATGCTAGAGCTATTTTCTGATATACTTTAATGAAATAAACTCCTTCTGGGAAATTAGTGTTAACACACTCAAATGATTATTAATAATCTGAGGAACCTAATATCAAGTGCACAGACATTCAAAAATAGAATAATAATGAACCAGTCCTCTGACCATACTAATGATCTTTAATCAGACTTTTTAAAAAATCTAGTCTCCTACGAAATGTCTCTAACAAGGCTGATTATTTGAACTTGTTTCCTGAGGAGCTTTCCTCTTGCAATAATTTGAAATAAAACTTTGACATGTGCTCATGATTATTTGACTTGAGTTCACTTTTCTACTTTCCAAAGCCTTTTGGATATGTCTTTTTTTCTTTTTCCTTTTAGGTGTTTCATTATGGGGTTACTAGCCTTTGAGTTGGCCCAGCTCATTCAGATTATACCTGATAAAGTGAATTCAGCTGAGTCGAGACAGGCTGAGACTCCGAGTGGATATAATTATTTGGCAGACCCCACTGAGCAAAGAAAGGTCAGGATCTGAGTTGGGAGGATAAGGGCCACAGAGAACTAAATTGTACCACATACTTAAGCAAAGAGAATATATATAATGTTGGGTTGGGGATGAGAAGAATGAAAAAGGGGGACAGAAAGGAGGGCCAAAACATTCATTCGTTCCTCCATTCCTTCATGCATTCATTCAGTAGAATGATAGAGCAGTAAGCTCCCTGAATTTTCTTTTGCCTCATATAATTGACAGCTGTGGGTCAGTCACTATTCTGTGAACTAAGAACAAACCCATGAACAAAATAAATAATACATCTGGCCTCACAGAACTTGTGTTCTAATCAGAGATATGGGCAATGACCATATCGATACATAAGTCAACCATATAACTGCACGCAGTGGTTACAACCACCAGGGAAGTAACTGGGGTGTTGGGATGGAGAATTAAGAGGAGGTCTGTGGGGGTCGCATTAGCCAGAGAGACCAGCTGAAGTCAGAAGGCCTTTTCTACAGTAGTGTTATTTGAGCTGAGAGATGAAAATGAGTCGGGTTGCTGAGATGTAGGGGAAGATCATCTCACATGGATGAAAGAGTGAGACCAAATGTGGGAAAGGATATGGCAAATTCAGAAAACTGAGAGGAGATCAGTGTCATTGTGGCACAGAGAGACAGGGAAGGAGAGCTAAGAGCTAAGACTGAGGGGTCAGGAGAGATTCAAATGACGCCCAACCTTGTATATCACAACCTAGAGTTTGTATTTTACTGTGGGAGTTAATAGAAAACCACTGAAGCATTTTAGGCACGTAGAGACAACTTTTGACTTATGCTTTAAACAATCCCTCTGGCTACCAATCAGGTTGCTGCTTCTCAAACTTTTAAGTGATAGAATTACCCGGGGCTCTTGGTAAAATGCAGACTTAAATTCAATCGATCTAAGGTGGAGCCTGAGATTTTGCACAAGTTGCAATACTGCTGGTCCACATTTTGAGTAGCAGAGATGTAGGAAAGAGACTGCTTTTAGAGAAAAAAGACCTGTTAGAAGGTAGCTTGGACCAGAAGGGTGT